TTTTGTTTTACCTGAGTCTCGAGTCTATTCAGTCTGCCATTTTGGGGTCATTAATACTCAGAATCATGTTAGTATGTTGACGACACCTGGGTTAAAATTAAATCTCAGGAAGTCCAACATTTTACTGACCACATCAACTCTGTGGATAAATACATCAAGTTCACACGAGAAGATGAAAAAAATGGCAAGTTGGCTTTCTTGGACTGTGAGGTCTCAGTCTCTGATAGATGACATTTGCAAACTGAGGTATACCGCAAACCCACCCACACAGACCAGTATTTGCAGTTTGACTCCCATCACCCTTTGGAGCACAAGTTAGGAGTCATCAGGACTCTGTATCACAGAGCAGACAGCGTCCCCATTAGCTCAGGAGCCAGGCAGAAGGAGAAATCCCACACAAGACAGGCTCTAGAGCAATGTGGATATCCTAACTGGGCCTTCCTAAAAGCAGAGAAGAAACCCAAACAGGACTCCAGTCAGCCAACAGGTGAAAAGGAGGAACCCAGACCAGTGGTCATTCCATATGTTGAGGGAGTATCAGAGAAACTGAGACGTTTATTTTCTAAACATAACGTCCCAGTGGCTTTTAAACCCCCAAAATACATTACGGCAAAGACTGGTTCATCCCAAAGATCCAGTCCCCCGGCACAAACAGAGCAATGTTGTGTATGCTGTTCAGTGTCAGGAGGGCTGTGATCAGTCTTACATCGGGGAAACAAAACAGCCACTGGCCAAAAGGATGGCCCAGCACAGAAGATCAACATCATCAGGCCAGGACTCTGCGGTCTACACTCATCTCCAGGCCAGCGGTCACTCTTTCAGGGATAAAGATGTGCACATCCTGGATAGAGAGGAACAATGGTTTGAGAGAGGAGTAAAGGAGGCTATCTTTATGAAAAGAAACCGTCCATCGTTAAACAGGGGTGGAGGCCTGCGTGTTCAATTGTCCCCCTCTTACAATGCTGTGATTGCTAGTATCACTCAGCCCTCTGTGAATAGTAAACAGCCATCAGTGTGCTAATGATCCATTGTTAGACTGATGGTCCTTCTTGAGCATGTGATCAGCTGGTTTTGGTTGTCAGCAGCAAAACTGGTTGATCCACTCTGAGAAGGTGCTATTTAAGAGACTGAGCTGAATACAGCACCTCAGACTGAGGAAGTCTCTCGGATGAGAGACGAAACGTTTCTACATTTCTTTGTTGTTTTGCTTTGTTTTGTTTTTTTGAATGTCCAGAGGACCAGATTTAACTTTTTTAGACTACACACTAATATCTTAAAGTTAACGTTACATGGATCCATGTTTGATTCACCACGATGCATGTGTTAAGCAGCAGTAACGTTAACAAACATAAACTTACCAGCTGAAATCACACACACAGCTCCGTCCTCGGAGTTCTTTGATGAAGAGGAGTCTAGTCGTGGAGATAATGAATCAGGCCGTTCATGCTCTAATACTCACAGGTGACTTTAATGTTGAGAGAGGAGGGGGGAGGCTGCGGTCCCCCTTGAAGACAACCACGGAGCAACTTTCTGCTCGTAAATTGAAGCCGTTCGACGACACACACGCTGCACACATGAACCCCGTCTGTGGGCGGAACCAGCACGCCATATGTCTGTGTTTTACCTGCCTGCGTACTGAAAACACGTGACACGTTAAAGCCAATACCGAAACTTGACGCCGAAAGAAAAGTGACGTTTCAATCAATACACCGACCAAACTGCGTTGGTCGGTGCCATAAAATAACCTTGGTGCGGTATACAGCCCTACTGTCTTGTCACTAAATGTTTTTTTTTTTTTGTTGCCCCAAAATCTACGATACGTTGAGTGAACATTCGGCATGCTGCTGGGCTGTAAAAGTATTTGTGGTGAGGAGGGTGGATCCTGTCATACTGGGCTTCCAGTTCGGTTAATTCACTGCTCTCTGCCCAGACTTCAGCAGATACCGTTGCTCAAAAGAGATGAAGAGCACTTCACTTTGCCACGTTTAAATAATGTGACCATTCAGAGCATATGAGGCAAACAGGTTTTGACCTGCCTGCTGGAAGAATGAACAACAGGGGTGGCTGTGGCTGAGTGGTTAGAGCAGTCATCCTCCAATGCGAGAGTTGGGGGTTCAAATCCACCAGCAGTCGCATGCCGAATTGTCCCTGGGCAAGACACTGAACCCCTCATAGCCTCTGATGTGTGTCCCATCAGTGTATGAATGTGATCTAAAGCTCTGATTAGTCTCGTTAGAATGATTTGTTCAATTAGCTTTGTAGAGATCTAGTAGAGTGCTGTATGAATGGGTAAATGAGGACACAGATTGTAGTGTAAAGTGCTTTGAGTATCTTGAATTAAGATAGAAAGGCGCTGTATAAGTACAGTCCATTTACATTAATTTCTCTGTCTATTCATCTTTAAAACAATGGTCTTCAGCGTCAACTTTTCTTTTTTTAGAGCACAACATGCTGTCTCTTCCCCTGTTCCTTCTCAACTCTTCTCTGAGAGCTCGCTGCACCGGCCGTGCTGGGAAAACAAAAAAATTGATTGGCTCATTAACAGAGTGACACTATTACTGCAACACCTGAAGTAGAGTGAACCACCAAAACACACCTCCCCTGTCTCTGCACCTTAGTTATCTATCGCTGGAAAAATGTTCCATGAAAATCATCTTTTTTTACCCAGCCCTGGTGGACGATACCCGAGTCAAAATCCAAGCTAAGGAAGTAGAAGTGTTCACCAGACATGCAGGGTCTGATGGCGCTCTGATAAACACTTTGGTAACAGTTCCTGTTTTAAATGTGCTATACAAAATAAATATAAATATAAATCTGACTTGACTCTGGCGCTGTGCTGGATCACTGGTGTACCTGTGGATAAAAATAAATAGAGTTCACAAAGAGATTTAACAGACATTTCTCTGGATTTAACAGAGGTGCAGCTTACATTCTCAACCACACTAGATATGCCTACTAACCAGTCAGAAGAAGTGTGGTGACTGGCCTTGGGTCTTGGTAAAACTGTGATTCAGATCCAGCAGTGGTTCTGTGTGCTGTTGAATGTCTCCGTTTCCTGGGCTGCTTTAATGTACGGGCTGACCTGGGCTGAAGTTCAGGGGCCTACAGCATTGGTGGGGCCTGTTGTTTTGAGGTCACGTGATGAGCTGAAATACATCGTTTTGTAACTTGTCAGGTTTTCTGTCAATCATTTCAGATGCATGTTTGTGGTGCTGATCCAAATAAAAAGTGACCCACGTGGGCTCACTGGCCATGAGTTGATCAATCAGAATGTGTGTTGCTAGAATGGAGGCGTGTCCCTCAATGATTGACTGACAGCTGTCCACATATTGTGGAAGAAGTTCAAGAGCAGTACTCAGAATAAAAGAACATATTTGTCAGAACAAGTTTGAAAAAGAACTGGAGACCATATGGTGGTAGATTTTAAAAGAACATCTGTCAGAGAAGTTGAACTCACAAAATGATGTTCACTGATTCTTCCACCACCTGGGGGAGAGGAGTGCGAGGCGTGGCCCCCGCAGGTGATGCTACAGTTGTGATTTGTTCAAGTATTTTTAGCAACAAGAAAGTTCATAAATTGTCATTTATAACAGCAACCTTCATAATGAGCAAGTTGATTCTCAATGATAAAACTCCTAAAGGTTGACACTGGAAATGTGATTTAGCTGTTAAGTAATCGTTAAATTCATCCATCCATCCATTATCTTTTACCTGCTTTTTCCATTTTGGGTCATGGGGGTCGCCGGTGCCCATGTCCAGCAATCACTGTGCGAGGAGCAGGGTACACCCTGGACGGGTCGCAAGTACATCACAAGGACACATGGAGACAAACAAGATAAACAACCATTCACTCTCTCACTCACACCTAGAGACAATTTAGAGTTACCAATCAGCCTAACATGCATGTTTTTGGTCTGTGGGAGGAAACTGGAGTACCTGGAGAAAACCCACGCATGCACAGAGAGAACATGCAAACTACCCAGAAAGGTCCCCGGACCGGGATTTGAACCAGGGACCTGCTCGCTGAGAGGCAGCAGCTCTACCAGTTGCACCACCGTGCTGCCTTTCGTTAAATTCAAAAGGGTGATATTTAAAAGATTAATTTGTCACAGTTGGTCTTTTGTTCAGAACAGAATAACTTGAAATTTAGTTTTTCTGCCTTTAAATTTGTTCTTTTGTACTATTATGTTGGTATTAATGTATATGCAGACATAATATGGTGATTGTGAGTGTAAAATTGTGTGTGTGTGTGTGTGTGTGTGTGTGTGTGTGTGTGTGTGTGTGTTGAAGTAACATTGTCCTTAATGTTCATGTGTTTCAGTGGTTCCTGCTTCTGTTTAGAGCTGATTAAAAGAAGAAGCTCCTCAAGACTGAAGGCCTGATGTGGACCAGCAGGACCCAGAGCCTCTTATCATAGAGTGGAAGAAAAGACCCTTAGACCAGTCTGGTGGGAGACCAACTCAATATGGAGGAGACCAATATCAGGTTTTTGGTCACTACAGTTTCTTTAAAGAGTGAGGAGGATAAAATCAACTTGCCAAGAACCCAGATTTAAAGACTCACAAAGACAGTTCCAGCTCTTCAAAGACTGACGTTAATGAGGACGATGAAGAGGATGGTGAAATGACCGATCCTGACTCTCTGCTAAAGAACACATCAGACTCTGAATCAGAACGTGAAGACAGTATGAAAGACAGGAAGGAGAGCAGGGCTCCTGAATCAGAGGTAAAACCTGTCAACAAATCTTTGAACTGCTCTGAGTGTGGTAAGCAGTATGTCAGTAACCAGACTCTTCAAAGACACATGACAAGGCATTCAGGAGTGAAGTCTTCAAGCTGTCTGCTTAATAAGAAATGTGTTGGAGAGAAGAAACATGTAGAGTCACGCAGGAAAGTCCAGGCAAGACCAAAATCAATGAGCTGTGATGACTGTGGTAAAAGATTTACTTTCAAATCACATTTAATCTTACACATGAGAGTCCACACAGGAGACAAGCCGTTTCCTTGTGACCTTTGTGGACAAAGTTTTAGTCATAAGACAAGTTTAAACAGACACATGAGAGTCCACACAGGAGAAAAGCCATTTCC